GAGGGGAGAGGCGGCGGTGCGGTGGTGAGAGCGAGAGTGAGGTTGTAGGCTGTTGTCGCGCCGTTGCAGGGCGGTGTGGCGTGGAGAGGGGCGAGCGGCAGACGGCAGACGGCAGACGGCAGACGAGCCAGGCAGCCGACCAGGCGAGGGGCCGGGCGAGGTGCATATTGGCTCACGCCGTTCAGAGGCAGCCAAGCTGCTCGTCCGAGCGGCCCCTTTCGCTTTCGGGGGCGGTGCCCTCTTGAAATTTCGGCCCACTCGACTTATCCTCGGCATGGTTCAGCTCTCTGCCCGCCACGAGTGTGCCGCTTTGACTCAGTGCCAGACGGATCAGCGGATCGGACGGGATCTCTTCTCTTTCTCGGCACAGCTCCGACGCAAGAAAGGCATGGACTGAGTCTGGCTCCCACCAAAAAGGTCAAGGCGAGGAGCGTGGTTGCCAAAGCCCTTTGTGTTGGTCGGCTTGGCCGTGTGTGTGTCTCTCTTTGCTCGGCCTCGTTGCTCTGCAGTTGAGTCCGAGTCGGGGCAGTCCGCCGGTGAGGACTTGTGTTGGCCTGCTGGCCGGCTGACTGGACTCATGCTTGGTGTTGCTCTGCGGCAGGCCTCCTGCTCCGAGGGTCCAGCCAGGCTGCCTCCTTTTGTTTTCTTGGAGTGTTTTCGCTTGAAAAATGCCGGTTTGAAATGCAGCCGAGCGGCTCGTGGCTTCGAATTTTTTGAATGTGACGTGCTGGCAACTCGGATCGACGCCGATCCCGCCAATCTGTGCATCAGCGGGATTGGCAGAGAGCGTCGGCCTTCTTGGTTGCAGATGTCGGGGATTCACCACGTCCGTTGAGCAGGCGAGTCAACATGGCGAATCGTGGCGCTGTACCGCAGCTTACCCGATCGGCCTGCCTCTCGAACACTGGACTTCAGCTTGCAGGATCGAGTCGAGCGAGGCAAGGCGAGTCGGAACGCTGGCGTGAAAGGGTCGCCAATCTCGGAGCCCCAAAAAGGATCAGCAACAAACTGACAGGGGGGGCACACGCGGGCGCCCGAACCGAATTTTTTCACCACGCATGCACAGTTCCACCGCTGGTTTCACGACCACCTGCCAAGGCGTCGTGATCGTCCCAAAGGAATTGGCAACCGCGATACGCAGCACCAGAGAGTCCAGAACATCGTCTCGCCTGGCTGGCAGCGGCGGGCGCATCCACTGCACAAGCCGTTGTCCGTCTCGGCTGGCGGCTCATCCTTGTCGTCGAGGCAGGAGTGAGCTGCGGCTGGGCGCACTCGGCTGCGCACCTGCTGAGATGTCACTGCTTGGGTGCGGTAAGGTGTGCCAAGAGTCGTGCCCCTGCCTCGCAAGCAACGTGTCGCTCGAGGTGCGCGCCATTCGAAAATGTACGACGGCACAGTCTAACAATCTGTAGCGTATTGCGCGCGTGCGATACGCCGAGGCCACATGCGTATGCACGACGCGCCAAATGCGTACGCACGGTGCAGCAGCATGCTTGGTTGGGGCGCAGAGCCGCTTTGGCAAAAATTCCATGTTTGCTTGCCTGCTTGCCTGTTTGCCTGCCTGCCTGCCTGCCTGCCTGCCTACCGATGACGGCGCGACATCGCCCGGTTGCGGCAACAAGAAAATAGGTTGGTGCGAGGTCGCCCTCCGAGTTGCACGAGGGTGTTGTTCTTGTCGCACATCCCTGCCTCCGCTCCTTGCTTGCCTTCCCTTCCATCCACATCAGGCTTGCCTGCGTCCGCGTCCACATCAATCATGTCGTCTCCGTCGACCGCGGCACCGCCGCCCACGAGGCCCGCAACCGGAAGGAAACGTGCTCCCTCTTTCTCCGAGGCCGTCGCACAAGTGCCTCAGAACGCCAATGCGCGCGACGAGACCGCCGATCCTGCTGTCGCCGACCGTCTCGCTGCGGCCGCGGCGGCTGCTGCTGCCAAGGACCCCGTCGCCTCCTCCACCTCGGGCTCCACGCCGGCCACCAAGTCGGGCCAGCACTCGCGCACGCCCAGCCAGCGCGAGGACGACGAGATCTACCGCTCGCAGGGTCTCATCAAGGACCTGCTCACGTTCCGCTGGATGACCGCACCGGCGTCGTCGCTGCAGCTCGCGCTCATCTTCGTGCTCGCCTACTTCAACTGGAACTTCTTCATCGGCACGCCGGAAAACAACCCGATCGCACCTTTCCTCATGCTCTCGCACCGCGTGCCCCAGAGCCAGGTCATCCTCGACTCGCTCGCGCCCAAGGACCCCGTACAGCGCGCGCTGCAGAATCTCATCCCGCGCTCGGCAGAGAGCCTCGAGGCGCGATACCAAAAGGGCTACAGCGATCTGCTCTTCCTCGTGTTCTACGTGATCGTCTTCTCCTTCCTGCGCCAGTCCACGACGCTCTACATCTTCAAGCCGTTCGCAAAGTGGTGGGGCATCAAGAGCGAGACCAAGCAGGCGCGATTCACCGAGCAGGGCTATGCGGTGCTCTACTGGGGCAGTGCCGCCGCGCTCGGCCTGTACGTGATGAGCTTCCAGGACAGCTGGTGGTACAACCTCGAGCATCTCTGGCTCAAGTATCCGCACTGGCAGATGCGCTCCGAACTCAAGCTCTACTACCTGCTCCAGTTCTCCTTCTGGCTCCAGCAGGCGCTCGTCATGCTGCTCCGTCTGGAAAAGCCCAGGAAGGACTACTACGAGCTCATCGCCCACCATCTCGTCACGCTCTGGCTCATCGGTTGGTCGTACCTGGTCAACCTCACCATGATCGGCACCACCGTTTTCGTGTGTATGGACATCCCCGACACATGGCTCGGCTTCTCCAAGGCGCTCAACTACATGGGTCTCGACAACATCACCGTGGTCATCTTTGCCATCTTTATGGTCATCTGGACCTACTTCCGCATCTACCTCAGCGCCGCCACGCTGCATTCGGTGTGGTATCAGTTCGAGCTGATTCCGCGCTATGCGCGCGAGTGGGAGCCCGAAAAGGGATGGTGGCTCGTCAGCTGGATGCGCTACCAGATCTTTGCCCCGCTCTTCCTGCTGCTCCTCCTCAACCTCTTCTGGTACGTGCTCATGTGGAGAATCATGTTCCGCGCCATCAGGGGCACCGTCGCAGACGAGCGAGAAGACGGCGAAGACGACGAAGAGGAAGACGACAAGAAGAACCAGTAAACAAGCCTCACAAGCTCATGTAAATCGTAATTCCCCCTCCCTCCCACCACCACGGCGCAGGTTTTCCAGTTTGTCAAGTTTGTCAATGGAATGTGGCTGTTTTCTCAGTGGCTTTGCTTGCATTGCGTGTGTGGAGTGCTTACAGTAGAACGACAGAGCCTTGATAGACAAGGTGCCGGACAGAGCGATACCGCAGCAAGTGGATTGAATCTTTGTCCAGGATGGCCGATTCGCCGCTACAAACACAGCCCGTGCGCAGGGTTAGTGAGACGAACAGGGGCAGAGCGTCGACGGAGAGATGGTTTGGGACTTACTCTGGAAGTTGGATCGTTCCACACTCGTCGAGACAGCGCACAAACACCGGTCCGTCCAGATCGGGTCCTGGTACTACAAGACGCTCACAACTTGCAATCAGTGACCGGGGCTAGCAAAGCACGACGTGTCCGTGTTCGGCGGCACTTACGCATGTTGGTTGAGGTGTTTGCCTGGTGTGTGTCCTGCTGGCTGAAAGTGTCCTGACCTGGCGCTTCGATCTCTCGAAGCTGTTCGGGCAAGAAGCCAAGAACAGCCGTATTGAAATGGTCCTTCTTCAACTGCCAATAGCTGTTCACCCACCATCAACATCAGTACCCTAGTCGTCTTCATCTTGACCGCGTTGGGCTGCGTGGACTTACTCTTGCACGAATCTGGCCTCTGTGGGATTGAGCTTTGCCCTCTGTGCGGGGCGTGCGTGGATGAATCCGGCGAACTTTTGCGCGAGGTCGAGCCGTGTGCGTGTGACGAGCTTGACGAGCCACTTTGCACGTTCCAGATCGACCTGCACCATGTTGAGGCGGAGGAACTCATCCTCGTCAATCTCGTCCTGGTCGGCTGTACTGCCGATCTGCAGTAGCGAGTCGACGATCGACTGTTGCTGCTCCATCTGTCCGAGCAGCGTCTCGAATGCCGACGTGGGGAAGGGCAGCAGCTCGGGCGCTGCTTTTTGCGTGGCCATGAACAGCGTCAACTGCTCGAATGCCGAAATGCGCGCGATCGAGCACGACGACGAGTGCGGCCAGCCCTTGGCGGATTGCGCTGTGGAATGCGAGTTGGTCGGTGTCGAGGATCGCAGCAGGTCATCAATGTCTAGACTCGAAGCCCCCGCTTCCGCCGCCGAGCCTGATGTCGAGAACGAAGGAGATCCCGCTCGAATAGCC